TGGCTGAATCCATGGGGGCATTTGGGTGGCGGAGATAGCCTGTTCCCGGCTTTCCGCTTATCCAGGTGTTCACCCTTGGCTGACCTATGCTGGAACCCTGGGTCAGCGCTACCTGCAACGGTGCAGGGAGCTAGTGGAACCAGAGCCTGTGCAACCAGTCACTTTCTGTAATCAATAAAGTTGTGGCCTAAATTCTGCCAAAAACCAAACCAAAATTCGAGTCCTGTATGAATTTCTTTAAGGGGGAGGTTTAAAGGTCTAAACAGGCAAGGGGAAATCCTTGCCTGAAAGGAGGAGAATTGGGTTGGGTGTGACTCTTATGTCTTAGCCAGTGCTATTTTTATAGAAAAAGAGGTTCCAGAACTCACCATGAACACCTCCCTTATTCTCTTATAATGGCAATGGCGCCCACCTGAGAGGTGCCAGAACTGAGTTCTAGTGAGTTCTAGCCCTGGTCTCAGCCTAGTCTACGAATAAAAAATATATATTATTTTAAAATTCTGTCCTGCTTTACTCCCAAAGAAGAGTTCCTTAGAGGAATGGAGATTATTGCATAGAAATTCCTCTCTCTACAGAGCAAGGCTGCGTAAACATTGCCAATTTCTCCAGCTCCCACGTGCTCCCACTGCTGACTTTTGGACCAGGGTATGCAAATCTCAGGGTCGTGGGTTCGAGAGCTCCACACTGGGCCAAAAAATTCCTGCATTGGAGAGGGTTGGACTAGATGACCCCACAGATTGGAGTAGCCAGGATTTATGTTGGGGGGGGCAGGGTGCCCATCTGCCAACCCGTCACCACCCTCTGTCTGGCTCTGTCCAGCAGATTCAGAATGAAATGTCTCAGCAACAGTTGTGCTAAATTACTTTCTTTGGACCCCCCAGCGCTCAGAAAAAATCTGTCAAAACTTTCAGTCCTTTGAAAAATAATCGAAAAATTAGCATTTCCTGCAGTGTTTCTTTTTTCTCTTTAAAATTATACGCCTTCTTTCAGGAGTGCCAGCTTGGCCCCGCGACCATGGGGGCCCCGGGGCCCTGCAGCGTGCATGGCCCTGGCGCAGAAAGTTGTGGGTGGCCCTTCATGGGGAATTTTGTGGGTGCTTGGAAACCCAGGGAGCTGGAACCTAGGCATTTTTTTTAATCTCAAATTATTATTATTTTGTAAATCTAAACTAAAACAAGTTTCCTTGCATTTGTTGAAAACCTTACCAGGGCTTCCTCCTCTCTCTTTTTCCCTCCAGTGCAGTTTTCCTGTGTCCATTTATACTTTTGAGCAGTGCTATTTTCCTGGGGGTACGCATACCCCTAAACATTTTGCAAATCTAAGTTTGGCCTCATTGTCAGGGCTGGATTTGGGTTTGATGAGGCACTAAACTACTGAAGGTAATGTCCAGCTTTATATACAATTCAAAGTGTTGGTGCTGACCTTTAAAGCCCTAAACGGCCTCGGTCCTGTATACCTGAAGGAGCGTCTCCACCCCCATCGTTGTGCCCGGACACTGAGATCCAGCGCCGAGGGCCTTCTGGCGGTTCCCTCATTGCGAGAAGTGAGGCTACAGGGAACCAGACAGAGGGCCTTCTCGGCCCGCCCTGTGGAACGCCCTCCCATCAGATGTCAAAGAGATAAATAATTACCTGATATTCAGAAGACATCTTAAGGCAGCCCTGTTTAATATGTAACGCTGTACTGTTTTTAACACTGATTGGGAGCCGCCCAGAGTGGCTGGGGAAACTCAGCCAGATGGGCGGGGTATAAATAATAAATAATAATAATAATAATAATTATTATTATTATTATTATTATTATTATTATTATTATATGTCCAGCTGTCCTTTGTCAACAGCAAATTGTCACTGTTTTTTTGTGTTGGATATATGCTATATGGTAATTTATGGACCTAATAGGTATCTAAAGCCATTTGCACATAACAAAACATGTATTTTCTCAAAGTTGAACTGAAATACAATTAAGAAGTGATATTTTAGAGAGCAGGCTAGCAGGCAGGGCCCGTTACTTACATCAGGCATAGGCAGATGTTTTGGACTACCATTCCCATCACCCCTAGCTAACAGGACCAGTGGTCAGGGATGATGGGAATTGTAGTCCTGAACATCTGGAGGACCAGATTGCCTGTGCCTGACTTACATCATACCTGAAGGAGCGTCTCCACCCCCATCATTCTGCCCGGATGCTGAGGTCCAGCGCCGAGGGCCTTCTGGCAGTTCCCTCATTGCGAGAAGCAAAGCTACAGGGAACCAGGCAGAGGGCCTTCTTGGTAGTGGCGCCCGCCCTGTGGAATGCCCTCGCATCAGATGTCAAAGCGATAAACAACTACCTGACATTCAGAAGACATCTTAAGGCAGCCCTGTTCAGGAAAGTTTTTAATGTGTGATATTTTAGTGTATTTTGGGTTTATATGGAAGCCGCCCAGAGTGGCTGGGGAAACCCAGCCAGATGGGCGGGGTACAAATAATAAATTATTATTATTATTATTATTATTATTATTATTATTATTATTATTATTATTATTCTGTTGCTGTATATAGGTTTTATTTTATTTATTTATTTATTTACCTTATATTTTGGAAATGTACATCCCGTTGTTTTCCCCTTAGATTTTTTTTGGGCCCCCCAAGAGAGTGGGGCCCTGACCTATAGCTTCTTTAGCTTATACGTAAATCCGGCACTGCCAGAGGCAATATTTCAATATGAGTAGGATAATGAGAGTACCTTTAAACATTTTTTTAGGGGGGGGGAGCACTGCTTTTGAATACTGTATTTTTATTTATTCACCTGATTTAGGGAGGGGGGTGCGCAGCTGCTACGCCCATCATGCCCCCCTCCCCGCTTTCCAATCCCACACTACTACTAGAGCTCTCACTCCAGGCTTTCCGTTCAGGGACGGGACTTTAGCCACGCTCCCCGGGCCGCCCCCGGCGCTTGCAAGGCTCGGGCTGCAGCGCCCGGCCGCGTCCGCCAGGGGTTGCGCCTCGGCCCTTTTCCTGCTCAGCCGCCAGGGCCGCCCCAGTCCCGGGCGAGGGTGGACGTCGGCGCGGCAGCAGCAGCGGCTCTTCTCCGGCTCCTCCGCCCGAGGCACGGCGATCGGAGAGCGCCATGCCCCCTGGCCCCGTGCAATAGATCCCTCCCCTCCTCCCGCCTTCCCAGGGCCAGATCCCCCTCTTTTGGAACCGACTCGGCGTGCGCTTTTTCTTTTTTGTGTTTCCACCCGTCCGCAAAGCCTTGGATTTGCGTGTGCGCAAAGAAAGAAGGGAGCGCCAGGAGAAAGCATCGCAGGCAGCCGCTCGCGGGCTTACAAGGTAAACCCCCGGGGAGACGTGGATCGCTTTATTTGGGAGGGGGCTGCCGCCCAACCAACCCTTCCTCCTCCGCTTTCCACTTGGGATCGCTTAAGATCCCAAGTGGAATGGAAGGAGAGAGATGGGGGGTGGGGGTGGACGTGCGTGGAGGAGAAAGCTGCGCATCTTGAATTGTGCAACAATGTGTGCGTGCGCGCAAACTTGGCGCGCCTCCCCCCCCCCCCGTTCCTCCGTTTGCAGCCAAAATGCAAGCCAGATCCCAACTCGTTCCCCCCGGGAAGCAAGTCCCACGGCTGCTCGGTGCTGTGTGTGTTTATTTACTCCCGAGTAAGCGTTGGGTGGAGGGGTAAGTGGGTCGTGGGGCAGGAGCGGCCGGTGTGCCCACCCCAGCTCCATCCTCTCTCTGCATGTTTTTCACTCGGGAGGTGACTTTGGAACTTTACTCGCGAGGAGAGCGTGCAGCAATGCGCCCCTCTCCAGTGGTGCAATTTCAATGATCCAAGGGCTGGGCATTCCCGACCTCTTCTCCCCCCCACCCCCGCCAAAGAGCTCGTGCCTTCTGTTCCCTTTTCCTCCCCCCCTTCTCGGAGCGATTGCACGGTGGTTTGAATTAAGACCCTGTAGCAACAGCGACCACAAAAAATGAAGTTCTTTCTTGCCTCGTTGCAGTCATGCGCTCGCCTCTTGCCCTTTTGGCTCCGCTGCCTTTGGCTGGAAGGAGTTTTCGAGAAAATAAGTGCGCGTGGAAGAAAAAAATTGCGACTTGAAGCAGATCGATATATGTGCGTGTTAAGAAGGGGGGGGATCCAGCTCTTGGTGATATTTGGGGAAAAGGGGAAATAGCAACGCCTGTTGTGGCTTTTGTTGTGCAATTCCATTCAACTGGTTGTTGCTTGGACTTTTTACTTTTTTGCGGGGGGGGGGAGGGAGAGAAACACAACCCACATGCAATTTAGTGACACAACCACATTCCACGAGTTGCAGTTAAGATTCCTTTCTCCTCCGCTGGGGAAGCTGGAGATTTGTTGTCAGGGAGCTGTTCTGGGTCTTCTGTCAAACATCTGGATTTTCAGCCTCTCCCTTTATTGCATTGGGGGTGGGGGGGTGGAGAGAAAAGTTTCCCTTGCTCTTCCTTCTCTGATTTTTCTTTATTTTAAACAGCAGGCACACAGAGGATGCAACACCCCCTTTTTTATTTTCTTCCTGCACCCCATTCAAAGATTCCTAGCATTCTCTTAAAACACACACACACACACCCCAGTCACCCACAGAAACAAAGGGCTTTTGTTTATCCTATGGTTTAAAAGTCAAATATCTGGAGATGAAGAGAGCAGAAAGGAGGACCCGTTTTGGAAGCAACCTTTTTTTTTTAAAAAAAGGAAACCCTGAGGATGGATAGTTTTGAAAAGCTGAAGTATGCATTGAACCACATTTGGTAAGGAAGGGGAAGAAAGTAAACATATGGATTTGTGCAGAGCCGAAATCCCAAGTGGCCAAGTGTGCTGTCTGTTTATTCCCTGCTTAAGGGATTTGCCTGGTGCTTTTAAGGGAGCTCTGATTTTGCTGCCTCGAGGGGGACTGGTTATTCCGGGTTTGCCGCTTCAAAGTAGGTTGGATTTGTATTTTTGGAGGGAGGGGAAAGCCGGAAACGTGAGTGTCCCGCAAGGGTGTCTCTGTTATCTGACAAAAGGGCCGGGGAAGAAGGCCTTTTCGCAACAGCTCTTCGCCCATCGCCTCTGTGCAGCCACAAGGCGGGAATCTCAAAATGGAAGCCCCCTCCCTTCGTTTCCGGGTGCGAGAGGGGGGGAAAGGCCCAGAGCCCGAAGCCCAGGGATTGGTGACCTGTTTGTCACCTCTCGGGCAAAGCTCATTACAAATGGAAGTGACACACGGTTATTATGTAAACTGGAGGCTGCAAGCGCCACGGCTGAGTCGATCCCAGGCGCCCGTTTGCATGTCAGAAAAGCAGTCCAGGAGGCCGGTTCAGCTCAACGGGTTTCCGACTAAAGCCTGGCAAATGTGGAAGGTGAGTTGCCTTGTTGTTCTTGCTGGGCAGGTCGTGGGGCAGGCCACATCCTTGTTTTTTTTCCAGCGAGGGCGAAACAAATAGGGCACCCGGGGACCTCTCTGTAATCATGGGTGTCCGGTGGCAATTGCTTTTAATTGCGAAAATGTGGAATTGAAAAACGAGTGGTCATTACAGGCCTTTGACTAGCCTACGCAGGAGTCTGAATTTCTCCCAGAGCGGATGTGACAAGCTGTGTCGTAATGCTATATATACATTGCAGGCGTGCAAAGCTAATTAACCCATATTAGTTCTTTCGAAAACATCACTTGCTGATACTGTTGTTGTTGTTTGCTGCTGCGTAATCTCACTTCTCTCTGCACCCCTCAAAACGAAAAACCGGGGCCGGGTGGAGATTTCAACCCCCTCCCTACCACCGCATTCAGTATTCGTAATCAACAGTTTGGTTGGCACCGATCCTGGACAGTGTTAGAAATTAGCCAGGCGCGTTTTGCGGCTGGTGTGGGTCCGATGGTGACCACCTGGGGAATCTCTGGTTGGCGACTTGGGAAAGCAAAAATATCACTTGGAGAAGGATCTGAACTATTTTCTTTGAAGCTTGACTTCCTTTTATTCTGGATTGTTTTATTGGATGGTGTTATAAACTGCTTTGAGATTTGTTCTTTAAAATATAAAGTGTTATTGAAATGAAAATAATAATAATAATCCACAGCAAAAAAAGGTGCCTATTTGGTGATTAGATTATATATATTGAGTTTCGAGCACTCCTGATCCAGTGTCTTTGCATGAGTAGAGCTTTCTTCAGAAAGCAGTAATCAAACTGATCTTGCAGAGGAAGCCCAGTTACAGCTTTTTGGACAGGATCCATGCAGCCCTGACAGCTGAGTTGGACAGAGGAACCTCACACTTGCCTGCTCAGTTCATTATCAAGCCTTCCACCAGCTTTGGTTGGTGGCCCAGCTGCACCCCTCTCTGGACAGGGACAGCCTAACTACTGTTGTCTACACTCTGGCAACCTCGAGGTTAGATTACTGCAATGCATTATATGTAGAAGACAAAACTTCAGCTAGTGCAGAATTCAGCGGCCAGGTTGCTTGCAAGACGGTTTGAGCATATTACACCAATCCTGGTCCCACTGCACTGGCTGCCAGTTAGATTCTGGGCCCAATTCAAAGTGCTGGTTTTGACACTTAAAGCCTTCAACGGCTCAGGACTGCAGTGCCTCAAGGACTGCCCCTCTCCATATGAACCAACCCAGACCCTAATCTGAGGCCCTTCCTTGTGTGCCCCTTCCATGAGAGGTCCGAAGGGTGGCAACACGAGAACAGGGCCTTTTCTGCAGTGGCTCCCTGTTTGTGCCATTTTCTCTCCTGGGAAGTTTGGCTGGTACCTCTAGGTGCCGGGCGAAAGCGTTCCTCTTCAGCCAGGCCTTTGGCTGATTAAATGTCTTGTGGGAGGGGAGTTTTTGCTTTTAGTCTTGTTTTTATTACCTATTTTGTGTTTTTCTTTTTATTACTTGTGCTTTTGTGTTCTGAACCGCCCTGAGATCTATGGATGGAAGGTGGCCTGCAAATTTAATCAATGATAATAAAATAAAGCTGGAATGTAAGGGAGTCCTTTCATTGCACCCACATTTGGTGCAGCGTGTGTGCGTTGCCGGCAGTTTCTCCTGCTTTCAGTTGTGCCCGTGGAACCTGAAAGGTTGGGGACCCTTGAGTTAGAAATTTGCTTCCCTGTTGACCCTAGCTGCATGTGGGAGTCTGTTTCTAAAACATGCCCTACTTAACTTCAGATGACACCTCCAAAGCGAACCAGTTCATGGGATAAGGATTTAGTTCAGCAGTAGAGTGGGTTCGATCCCGGGGCAGGGTGAGTGCCAAATTGTAGCTTCAGAGGGCAGGAATGGGAGATGTCGAGTCCAGCCCTTGAGGAGATGCCGCTCGGGCGCTAGGCTGTGGATGGGAAAGTGATGTGATCCTAGCACCCCTGACTGTATCCTCATGGTAGCCCTTCAGGAAAAGCATTGGCCTATCCAATATTCTGGGACACGGGTGGTGCTGTGGGTTAAACCATAGAGCCTAGGACTTGCCAATCAGAAAGTCGGCGGTTCAAATCCCCGCAACGGGGTGAGCTCCCATTGCTCAGTCCCTGCTCCTGCCAACCTAGCAGTTCGTAAGCACGTCAAAATGCAAGTAGATAAATAGGTACCGCTCCGGCGGGAAGGTAAACGGCATTTCCATGCGCTGCTCTGGTTCACCAGAAGCGGCTTAGTCATGCTGGCCACATGACCAGGAAGCTGTACGCTGGCTCCCTCGGCCAATAAAGCAAGATGAGTGCCGCAACCCCAGAGTTGGCCACGACTGGACCTAATGGTCAGGGGTCCTTTTTATCCAATATTCTGGCATGGTGTTTGCTGGGAGAACCCCAGGATGATGGCTCTGGTTAACTTCAGCATCCCATGCAGAGGCTGCCATTGGGGCATCACATGACTTTGTGTTCTCCATGGCAACCGTGTGGCTGTCTCCAATATCCATCAGTCCCACCCTTCATGCAGGTGATATGATGGGTGGACTGCATGCAGGGGGATTGCAATCCCTTCCCTTGTTGGTTATACGTACAAATGTAATAAATAATACAGTGGTACCTCTGGTTGCGAACGGGATCCGTTCCGGAGGCCCGTTTGCAACATGAAAGGAACGCAACCCATAGCTGCGCACGCGCAGGTTGCGATTTGCCGCTTCTGCACATGCGCATGACATCATTTTGCGCTTCTGCACATGCGTGAGAGGCGAAACCCAGAAGTAACCCTTTCCGGTACTTCCGGGTCGCTGCGGGACGCAACCTGAAAAGATGTAACATGAAGCAAACGTAACAAGAGGTATGACTGTAATAATAAAATAATTTGGCTGGTTTGGGTCAGAGTGTAGCCCACTGGATCTGATGAACTGGTGCCGCAGAATGCTCGTTGTGTGTGTGTGTGTGTGTGTGTGTGTATTTGTGGCACAATGTAAACTTAGGAACTCCTTGCCTATTGACATTAGGTAAAGGTAAAGGGACCCCTGACCATTAGGTCCTGTCATGGCTGACTCTGGGGTTGCGGTGCTCATCTCGCTTTATTGGCCGAGGGAGCCGGCGTACAGCTTCCGGGTCATGTGGCCAGCATGACTAAGCCGCTTCTGGCGAACCAGAGCAGCACACAGAAACGCCGTTTACTTTCCCACTGGAGCGGTACCTATTTATCTACTTGTACTTTGACGTGCTTTCGAACTGCTAGGTTGGCAGGAGCAGGGACCGAGCAACGGGAGCTCACCCCGTTGCGGGGATTCGAACCGCCGACCTTCTGATCGGCAAGTCCTAGGTTTAACCCACAGCGCCACGCGCATCCCTTTATTGACATTAGGCAGATGCCTTTGCTGTTCTCTTTTGGGGCACCTCCTTAAAACATTTTGGTTTGGGCAGGCCTATCCAGACATGTAGTTGTTGATTGTGTTTTAAGCTCTTTGGTTGCTGGTTTTAACTATCTGAAAATGTTTTTAATTTTTGTCATTTTTTAAAGGTATTTTTACTATTTCTTGTAAACTGCTTAGAGGTTCTGTTTCAACCTAATGGTACGTACAATGCGTTAAATAAACCAGGGATGTAGCACACGGAGGGTGACCTCCAGCCTTAGCCCACAAGGGGGTCCAATTTGGTCCGCAAGGCTGTTTCACAGGGCGATGTGCGAAGATGGACGAGGTGTGTGGTTCATTCCTACTGATGAAGAAGACCTCTGAAGGTGAGCAGAGAGTTCAGTCCTGCCTGCTGCTTCACTGGCATGTTGTCTGTCGGTGAGCATATCGAAACATAGCGCTGTGATTCCCAGTGTCTCGTAGGAGATGGATCTACTAACTTGTTTTCTTCGCTCAGAATTGAAAAGTGCCCAAATTGCCTTTTCCTTCTTTCTCAGCATCTTCTCTCCCACAACAAAACTCCACCCAGCTGTGAGTCATTCCAACACTTAACAAATCCCTGACTTGGATGAGTTTTAAAAAATGAAGCAAGCATAGAATGAAATTATACTTCTCTGCTTCACCAAGTTTAAATTACAGATATTTAGTAAAACGGGTCCAGTTCTTTGATTGGAGCGAACCGTCGAAATAAGAAATAACGCCGTGCAGTTCTACTGATCAGATGGGTTGTTGCGAAGCTGTATTAAGTTTAGACTGAAGGCAAATTGTGCGTTTGGCTAGATGTCTACAGAATTAAAGGGAAGAAAATCCCTGTAACACCAGGAGACTTACTGAACAATCTGGAGCAAAACAAAGCCCTTGTGTTCTGTGGATTGTGGCTGCCTTTCTAAATTATGATTCTATTGTGCTTGGCTAATACCTGTTTCTCAACATTGTGGTATATCACCAGCTAAACATTGCGATATACTGATATATCACAATGTCTGAAATAAGGATGGAGCTATATAGAGGCAGTGGCTGGCTTCACAGTTTTTCCAGCGTTGTGATTTTTGCATGTGAGACTCAGTTTAGCCAAGGATTCTTAAAGCGCTGTGCATATTAGAAGTGCTATAAAAATGCTTAATGCCCGCACATAATTAATAAACAAATGGCACAGAGGATGATTTGGTTGACCAACACATCTGCCTGTTTTTTTGTTTTTCATCTGTAAATGCAAAGCTGGTGGAATTAGCAGCAGCAGCAAAAAAAGTAGAATTGGTGAAGCTGGTCACAATTGTTGCTCCCTGAATGTTGTGGACATGGGTTTCAGTGTCTGTATCCTGGTTGAGGTCACTTGTAACAAATCGATGAGCAAGGGCTTCTTTCACCTGTTCCTGGGGAAAAGAAAAGGTGGGGGATTTTTTGCGTTAGTGCCGTTATTTCAGTGAATTGAGAATAACGACCATATGGACACAGTGTTAGAAACTCAGATATATGAGCTAGGCGCCAAATGGCTCCTTAAACCAGGGCTGCAGTTGCCAAAACGGAACGTCTAGTTGCCATTTTGGGGCA